CAGAGACATTTCATAAAGTGGCTTTATTCCTGCGTCTGAAGGAAAAACAAACTCCCCACCCACTGTTCTTGGACAATTTTTAGCAACAAGACTAATACAATGCATATAATGAATAAATAAAATCTCTGGAATGAGTTTTGGGAGTCCTAATCTTAAAATGCCGTGAGATTGTAATGTGGCTTACAGTGAAGAAAGTGTTATCTGTGGCTTTACAGAAACCTTTAGGCTCTGACTCCAGGAGGCAGGAAGCTGTGGCAGGAAGTTTTAAATTGTAGAAAAATGCTGATCTCAGAAAGTAACTCCTCACTCAATCTTAAATGGTGTATTCAAACTCAAATAATTTATTTTTTGCTTTCACTAAAGAGCTGAAAGATAAATTGTTCTGATATGACTTGAAAAGATTCTCCTAAGCTATTGTGGATATTCAACATGGAATAACTCGGACAGAAATATAATTGCAGCTATAAAACCCTCCATCTTTTCCGGTTTCTCTCAGTACTTCTCTTCAGGCACTCTCCTATTCCTTAGTCCTTCTCTGGACTCTTGACCTTTTCTGAGTGTTGTAAGTTCCATTGAAAGCACTGAGAAACAAGCTGCAATCAGTTGATTGAGCAGGAACTTAAGAAGGTAATTTGCAGATGTACTATTTTAATATTTTTATTTTTTTGAAGTTGTGGTCAATCTTGTTTCTAATCACCTGGAGAATAAAATATAATGAGGCTACCCACACCCACACACACAATTTTATCCTGATAAGCAGCTGGATTTAAATGATTAGGAGGATATTTTTTGTGATAAATCCTCTTGCTAAAACTCAGATTTTGAGTTTCTTCACAGATTATGAAATGGAGTGCACTCAGTGTCCATGCTGGCAGTTTAAAGTGGGCTTTAAGTTTGGCTGCAGTTATGATTTCACTGCTTGGATCTGCCTGTAGCATTTCTTTTGAGAACCTCTTTTAAGATGTTGTGTAACCAAGCATTTGGTGAGTCAGCCTATTATTTATACTGAAATTAGAGGAAAAGCGTGCCCTACATTTGACAAGGGAGTCATAGGAATTTGCTGGTTTGAAATTCGGAGTAAGAAATAAAGTATGCAAATGGTGGTTTGTAGTGCAGTCTGTCTGATCGCTAGTTGTGTCTGCTTGTTTTCAGCCATTGATCAGGCAGCATGTGGAACCTCATGGCTCAGAGGAGCTAATTTTCTTTTCTCCACTAAAATGCAGTGCTTAGGTAGCGCCGCTCAGAAATTGTTGGCCCTTGTGGCCATGGCTGACATTTTCTCTCTCAGCAGGATGTATACCTGCTTCATTATGAAGACAGTCTGTCTTCTCTCCCACAGATTTTTCTTTGTGCCCAGAAAGGCTAATTGCAGCTGTTTCAGGGTCAGGGATTCAGAGGGGGGCTGCTTTACACCAACGTGTACTTTTGTTGGCCTGCGCTGCATGAATCTGAGAGGGCATGCTCGGCTTCAGACTCAGCTGCAGGTTGTTATGGCATCTTGGCATGAGTTTATATGACCAGCTGAGGCTGGTCATGAACAAATGGCCTTATTGGGTAAATTAGTTGATGTAGAAACTGACAGCCAAGCAAGAGAAAACTTCTGTTTTAACTCGAGCAACATAAAAGGTGCACATTTGTTTTCAGTTTTGAAATTGTATAAATAGTGCATTGGCTTAAAAAAATATCCACACCCTTAAATTTTTTTGACATTCTGACAATGTACGATGGCACTGTAAAATGTGCTTAATTGTGGAGTGGAAATAAAGCGAATAAAAGGATTGAACACTTTGTAAACCTGTCAGTTTTGCAAATCTACAGAAATCATTTTGGGGAAATTGGATATAAAGTGTCTGTTTCCCACAGATTTTAAGTTGAATGCAGAGCTGAACTTGGACTGGACCATTCAAGCACATAAAAATGCTCTAATCGAAACCGTCCCACTGTAACTCTGGCTGTAGATCTGGGGTTTATTTGCTACTGGAAGGCGAAGCTCTCCATATATTTTCTTCCAGGATTGCTTTTCTTTTCTTAATATGAAATGGCTTTTTACTTTTACAAAATGAAGTGTTTAATTGATTTCTTATTAGTTTGTCTCATTTCTTTTCTGTTGTAATTTGCAACACGCTCACTGTGCATAGCTGTTTTGGTGGAAAAGAAATAGATTGCTCATGACAGCAGAAGCCATTAAAGTCATTTGAGCATTTCTCCCCTCACCATCAAGGTCCCTAGAATCCTATAATCACACTGATTGTGAAGCACAGCGTTTAGCAGCCTGTGCTTGTCCAGTTGTGCTTCCTTTTTGGACGACAAAAGACGAAGAGAGTGAGAGCAGTCTGATGGTCAGAGAGGTAAAAGTGGAATGCTTTTCTTTTAAATCTCACCCCCCGTTGGAAGCATCTGAGTTGAAAAGTGAACAAAATGTGCTTTTGAGCGTTTCTTCCATAAATAACCCCTTTTTTAAACCTGAGAAATGTATTTAGCAGGCTAAGATACCTTGATTGAAGTGTAATTATAACTACAAACCCTTGTCAATCAATCATGGTAAAATTAGCTTGTTCAAGCTTGGAGTAAAACACTTAACTATCCAATAACCTGGATTTTTTTCTTTATTTTATTTCTCAGCATTATTATAATGTTCACCCATCAAACACATTTTTCTTTGACTCATTCATGCATATGATAATCCTCGAATCTGACATGGCAGCCGTTTGGGAGTTACCTTAATTTCTGCTCATGCAAAGTGCCACACACTGCTCCTACAGACTAGCAGCAGCAATTGGCAAACACCTGATGGCACCTTTTTTATTTGAAGATTTTCCAGCAATGTCCCAAAGGAAGAAGACCACAGAGTGGATGTAAAACTCTGGGAGGAGACAATAACAATGTTTTGGCCTGGGGACAAATTTTGGAAAGTGTCACTGAGAATAAGGATGTCTTGGTTTCCCCCATGGACCTGACAGGCACAGGGAGCAGAGTTGATGTAGTAGGTTCAAAAATTTTACAACAATTTTATGTTTTGCCAGAAAAAAAAAATAGAAAATACTTCTGACGTGGTTGCAAAAGTACGCTGAGGCAACGTCCTGGATAAGTGGGATCTACATAAGCTGATAAAGAAACCATGTTTCCAGTTATGAAAGATAAATTTAAGTGGTGACTATTTTCATGGCTAGAGACTGTAGCTATGAGGAAAAGATTGGTGTAACAAAAAATGACATTTTCTGTCGGTTTATTGTATTGTACAGTAATCGTCTCCACTGTTTACCTACTTTCACAATATATCCCTAAAGCTTAAAGGGTCACAACTCCACAGAAAATGTGCCGTCCAACACATTTGGTGAGACCCCAGTGAATCTGAATGTGTTCTCATTAAGAGCTTGTTGTATGCATGTCTGAGTGCGCATGTTTGTGTTCCAATGAAATTTATTTTGATCAAGTGCACTTGAGGGAGGAAAAAAAACACAGATCCCTTTCTCATCCTCAGAGGTCAGCATTTGATTCAGGGTTTAAATATAGCTGCTGAGTGGTGTGTTAGTTTGCGATAGCTGTCTCCAAAGCGACCATCTTCTCACTTCCCACTCTCTGACGCAGACAAAAAGCATCTGTGCAGAGAGGCGGTGTCAACCTTGCAATCAAAACCAAAGTACATCAAAGTATCATCTCATTACTTCAGTGCAAAGTGGGGGGAAAAATGTTTTATTCTACATCTGTGTGCTCATTAACGGGCCACAAGCATGAACTGTTCATCTGAAATCCATCTTTTATCAGAAGGATGCCCGTATCTAAGCTGCAAATCACAGTTTGTGTGATGCTTATCGCTATGAAATGCTAGTACTCTGTAACCAAACAGAGAAGTCCAATTTAATTAGGAGTGTGTTGTATTTCAGAGCAAAGGCAATTGAGTTAGATTACTCTGTATATGAACACTCCACATGCTGGAACACGATTTTGAATTGAGAAGTTAATCCAGTTCAAAAGCCGAGATGGGCTGAAGGGTATCATTGTACTAAATGGAGCTAAATGAATCCAAAGATGAGGGGAAAAAACGGATAATGTTTATATTGATGAAATCTAAGGTATGATTCTAAGTGTTTATTTTTTATTGAAAAACCTCAGGGTATATAACTCATGAGCCTGAAACTAAAACAACAAATGAATATGAGAGGTAGACATGCTGCATATGTGAGATGAGCAATGGTCCCATAAGGAATATTGGTGTCTTTGTTTTGGGCTTTGCATTAGCTGCCTGTACTCTGCCTCATGTTTCAAGACAGTATTGTTTTGATAGTCTTTGTCACTATTGTTTTTAACGAGAATACAGTCCTCAAATTAAATTTGGACGGCCGATTTAGGAGTTAGCTAGGCTTAATGTGAACCGTGAACTAAGCGACTTTCATTTAAGATGAGTTCCCACCGTTCATCATCCGTCTTTGATCAAATCTTTAGTCACAGAAGAAAATCTCTATTTATGAGCTTGTGGCAGTGTGTGTGGTCGTTCAGTGGGAAAGGTAAACCGACCACAAAGATGACTTACAACAAATATGAAGCGATGGCAGAAATGTTCCTTCTACAGCTGCTTCTTTTCCCTCACATAATCATAAAAGTCGGCAGGAGAGACATCTCCCTCCTTATATTTGGCTTTTCTTCTGCTCTACTAATCATGAACTTACCTGTGCACTAAATTAACAATTCACAATCAGACACCTAATGACCACAGTGTTAATAATGTATATGTCAGACTTGTAATTAGAGCATGGCTAACCAACAAAGAGACTAATGTCCTAGTTAAAGCATTCTGGCAGCGCTTCATAAAGAACTTCATGAAGTAGATTCTGTTTGTGTGTTTTACATGCAGCATGGTGAGGCTGAACTAAGGTGAAATGAGACCAATAAGCAAACGTGATATTAAATAGTAGCCCACTTAAAACATCCTTTTAACAATTTGGTTTGTTCATTTTTTAGGTGTTTCACCTTCTCAATTTCTTCTGTGTTTTTCTCCTCAGATTGAAGATATCGTCACTCTGATCCAGGACGAGACCGAAGGCGTGCCCATCAGAACCGTCAAAAGTTTCATGACCAAGATCCCCAGTGTTGTTACAGGTAAGAAATGGAGCGAAGAAAGTATTTGGCAGCAAAGTGGCAGAAATGACAGGGTTGGACTGACAGGCTCTGCGTGGTACAAACATTACCTGCAGCGATACATAACGGGATGACAGCAAGTGTCTGGTGAACAGTCAAAACGACATCCTGGGGAATGCTCAGTTCTGTAGTTCAGCATTTTTCTGGAAAGCTTAAAAGCTTTCAGAAACCCCCTTTTCTCTTTTTATTCCACTGTAATTTGTCAGATGGAACATGTTTTATCATTTTTCAATGGGTCACCATCAAACTGGCTTCTAGTCATAAAACAGTTCTTTTTTTTAAATATGGCTTTTCCAACAAAACTCACAAGTCAGCTGTGAATAGTTCAACTTACTGCCCTGCTTTAAACCTGCCAGTAAGCCAAATTCTTCAACTAGGAAACCTTACGCTAAATTATTGTGCCAAGATTAACACTTTTTTTTGCACACTCTAACATAAATTCAGCAAATGTTCTGTAAATTAAAAAGAAATTGAAATTTCTCGTTGAAGTGCTTTCTGAGTTCCTAATGAATTAATTGGACATAATTGAGATTTCACAAATATCTCAAATGATTAAGCCATGGCTAGAAGATGATTATTTAAAAGACCAGCTAGAGGAATTTGACTAAGTCCCACAACTTGACAAGTTACATTTACATTTTCACTTCTGTGAAAGAAACATATGATCTTTGTGTATCTTTGGAGCCAAAGTGGTGGCGCTGTCAAATGTGACATTTTCCTACAGCAGCTAAAAAAAGAGTAGTTGGGGAAATGAGCTGAAGCCAGTTTGGTTTCCAGTTTGGAACCAAATGTTTAAGATGACTTTGGAACAAAATATGCCAGAAGTTTATGCTGTTATGTTTTTTGAAATGTGCAGATCTATTAGTTTGGTTTCGATAAAGATATCAAAATGCAAGTAGCTGCTGATACAAACATTTACCCAATTAGAAGTCATATTGTTTATAACGTGATAAAACATAAGGTCGTCATTTGGACTTGGGGATTTATTTACTTTGTTATATACATAATGAGTGCTGAAACAGAGATGTTGAGACGAAGGGATGGGCTGTAGCAGACATCAATGTGAAGCATTTATTCATTCATGAACTGTGGCGCTGCTAATCTGTTTGTGTGTTCTTAACATCATAGTTAAAGTCTGATATTTCAGTTTAACTAATCTCTTTATTTTAGAAATTGTGAACATCCTTACCTTTGTCATTCCTCTGACAAGCTGCCAGTATTTCCATACTCTACATGTTCTATAGCAAATAGATGTTGAAAGCCCAGAACACTCAAAGTATTTTTTTTTAAATAATTCTTTTGTTTGCTGAAGCTTTTTTTCCTGCTCCTCTGTAAAACAGTGAGTCTCAATGCATGGAGTTTTTTCCTTTATTTTCACTGCAACAGTCCAACACAACTTGGAGTCCTTCAAAGTTTTGCAAAAGGCACAAACCAAAGAGCTATGTTTTTCTCCTTCTCAATGCTGAAGTGACAAGTTCTGCTTGAACATTTAAACTTTTTGCTTGAGTTTAAATGTTCCGTCTGGTTTTGAATGCTGAGCAGCTGGAAGGAGTTTTACTCTTACATTCTCTTTAAATTTTTAACAGCTATAATGTGCAACTGTGGCAACAAGTTACTGTTTTTAAAAACCCCACATGAACTTCAACCTCGAATCCTAGAGGAGTTGTAGTGGGGTTTCATGGATGCAGAGCGAAATCAAAGAAAAGAAAGAAGTTCAAACCATCTCTCCCATCGATTATACCTCCGACTTTCTTTCCACCTGAGTTTCTAACCATACAGCCAAATGAAGATTTAACATAGAGCACTGCTTGGCAACATTTCATTTCCATTTGGAATAAATGAATTATTTTGATTTAATTGAAATTTCTAGAGAAAATTTGCCAAAATATGAGCTGCAGCAACACAACAAATCGGATGTGAAGCTAAGGTGACATAAACTAAAACCTGTTTCTGTGTCTGGATACTTTACATGGCAGCAAATTGGACATGCCATGATGATTATAAAGGGATTACATCAGTAAACACAGAAGAGAAAAGGAGTCGGTTCAACCAAGGAAATTAAAATTAACATCTTATCAATAACAACAACCAACAAAAAAGAAGCAGATGTTTAGATGAGCCACACCGTTTCACTTTAGTTACATTTCATTCTGGTAATGTGAAAGCTCTGCACCTACTTCACAGCAAAATATCTGCATAGCTGAAGAGAAGGTGGGAGGACAACATGTAATTAAGTGTTTGGGAAAGAAACTGCAAGAGCAGGAATGGAATGAGTAATGTCCTCCTACTATGAAAGGACCCTTAAGCAAGGCAATCAACTTTCATCTGCTTCAGTGCTGTCAGCGTTTAAAATGTGTAAATACAGTTTAAAATCAGATGTAAAAGCTTGTGGGAATGTATGTCGGCCACCTTGTCAGTAGGATGTTTGGAAATCGCAGGAATGATGCATTGTGGGAGGCTACGAAGCATCTTAAGCAAACAATGGAAACAAAGAGAAGCTTTTAACATTTCCCTGTTTTCTGTGTCATTGTCTCAATGCAAGATGTATTACCCAATATGCCATGAGCTGAGTGTATCAATAAACACAATTACCACAGCAGTGGATGAATGTGTAGAGAAGAAGCTGGAACGTTTGCATCCATGTGCCTTAGCCTGGGAAACTAATGAATGATGGGGAATTAAACGGCATCTCATTCAGGAGAGCAGCAGGCAAGCAAAAATGAGATAATTTTCTCTGGGAGAAACAAAAAGGCTTTTTAGGCTTTAGGTTTGTCTAGGTGAGGGATGCACATTACAACATATTGATCTTGTGTGCATGAAATCTTAAGGAATTATTTCTGCTGTTCTTAATACGCTAGCGTAATAGGATTATTCATCTTTTTATATATTTTCCTCCCTTTTTCTTCTTCTGAAATTGGTTTAGGGATATTAGAAAACTCCCAAGAGTAGCCAAAGTTTATTTAATTTAGCTTCTTTTTGTATTTTCTTTTGCCTTTTAGAAAAATGATTTAAAATTATTTTTTAACTATGCAAATCACATGGTTTAATTTTTTTATGCAGGTGCAGATATAGTACAATGGCTGATGAAGAATTTGTCCATAGAGGATCCAGGTATGCTCACAAAATGATATTTGTTAATAGTCAATGTGACACATAGTGTTTATGTAAATACTTCAAATTTGAAATGTCTAAAATAAACAAAACATTCATGGACTTTTGAATGTTTGTAGAATCTTTTTGTAGATTACACAAGTAGTTTTGTCTTTAGGTCATGGGGTTTTACATAAGAATATTGAAGTATTTTCCAAGTTTGCATAATTTTGGAAAAGATTTTTTCCCTATTCAATTTGTCCATAGATGCTTTGTCTTAAATCTTCTCCTCTGCAGTAATATACTCCTAATACATTTATTTTTTGTGTGTCAAGAATTGCTTGAACGAACGGGGAAAATGAACCAAACTGAGACATTTTATCATTAAAATGCACACAAACCCTGAAGTTAAGAGTTCAACGTTATTTAGTGATCCAGGAAAGTAATGATGATGATTTTTGTTTAATTGACCACAGCTTTGTTTAATAAATCAGCACATCCCAGAGCAGAAAGCTAAAATAAGTTCTTTGTAGATGCCTGGAGTCTGACTCTTATTTTAAGCTCTAGCTGTTAATGACTGTTCAGATTTTTGTGCTTTAACTTTGTGTTCACTAAGAGATCACCACGTTTTTAGATTTTGATTTAGATTTTCAAAGGAACTCTTTGATTAGCATACTTTTTTTTTCAGCTGAGGCCATGCACATCGGGAGTCTGATTGCAGCTCAGGGATACTTTTTTCCCATCTCTGATCACGTCCTGTGCCTCAAAGATGATGGAACTTTATACCGCTTCCAGGTAAGAAGGAAGATCAATTATGCAATGGAAATATGAGAGCAAAAAGAAAAATGTGCCTAACCTTAACAACAAGGTCATTGTTCAAAGAAAAAGTAACAAGATAAGAGGACCAGGAGAACAAAGGCATATTCAAGAGGGCAAACATATTTTTACATCTGATATTGTGTAGATGTACTCATATTAAGTTTTGAACATTCAAGAAAACATTTGCATTTAATAACAATTCCTTATTGCACTTAAGTTTAGACATGATAATTTTACAGCAAGAATCTACAAAATATTACACCACAGGTATTAAAATATTAGTTTTGCAACTGTTTGATGCAATGCAGTTGTTTTTGTTGAATTTAAAATATGTAGGACTTCTCTAAAATGTTGCAAAGTTTTTATTGTCTATTAAAACATATTTTAAAGAGCTTAACATTTTCTGCTTATGAAAACATAAATGCATGCAAACACTGCAAAAAAGGAAGTCAGTCGTGAACCACAATCTGATTCAGAACTTAAAGTCCAAATATCCATTCTGTTGCATTAGTCCAAATTTTAAGTTTTCAAATGAGTTGCACAATAATTTCCATTTGAAGTTACACTTTTTTGATGGATTTTGATTCATCCATCACAGATGGCGGAGGCAATAAAATCACAAATCCTGTTTTGTTTTCTTGCATTTTATGATGCAAAAGGGAAATAACTTGTGTACGTCCTCAATTATAAACCTGCATGAGGTAAGATCAGAGTTATCTCTGTGAAGCATGTTCTTTGTTCCTGTAGAGCTTTGTTGAGAACAGGAGCAGCAGTTTAATTAAAGCAGACAGCAGTGCACTGCGGTGCTTTGACCTTCATTCTTGTCTTTCAAAGTGAAGTGGAGAAGCAGTCAGTGTTGGAGGAGGCCAAAAACATTAATAAACGACATCAATAAGGACTCAAGTGAAGCAAACAAGCCGCAAGACAAAGAACCACATAATAAAGAAATCAAGAGACGAGACTCACAGTCTCACCCTGCAAAGAGATTCACAAACCTTTTATACAAAAGACATCAATGTTATTCATCAGGATGTTTTTAAAGAACACATGGTAGTGCATGCACACAAGTCAGTTCAACCCGTTATTCTCTACACCATATTGGCCCAGATTTTAATTATTTTGTTGTATCTTATGTATCTGATGATGTCACAGTAAAAAATTATAAATAAAGGTGATTGTCATCTCTTTGGTTTTCCAAATATTTTTGGATTGTCTCAATGTCTGGATCAAAACTGATTTTCTTATTGTTTTGCTTTAGGCGCCATATTTCTGGCCATCCAACTGTTGGGAGCCTGAGAACACAGATTATGGTAAGAATTGCTTTAAATTGTAATAAATTTCAATTTCCTAACTTATAATGCTATTTTTTTTAGCATAACCTTTTTACAGGTGTGACAAAAAGGCTATGTTGCTAGAAAAAGGACTAGCTAAATAACTCAAATGTTCTTCAAATATTTTAATTTTACTTCGTTTGGATATCTAAATGCTTGAGCTTCACTTCTTTGAATAAATTAGATCTGATTGATTCAGTTTTAATTTGATATGTTGTGCATTAGCTGTAATTTAAAAACCAGGTATTTTAACATTGTAACAAAATGTTAAATACATTTACTCATCATAAGCCTGGAAGACAATCCCAAGATACTTTACTGTTAAATGTTGCTGCACCACTTTGTAAAGTTACACTGGAATATTTTTTAAATATTCGAAAGAAACGGTGGAGACAGAAGAAATGATCAATTTGGGTTTTATTTTAATGAAGTACTTTAAATTTGCCATTTTAACGCTGATATTCTGCTGATGCAGTTTGTCCTTATTAGTATGCAAACACTTAGCTTCATTAGGCTTTAAGCTTCAGAAGGAATGAGTTTGACTCTCACAGGATGCCATAATTTCTCTATGATC